CAAATTCTAAGTTTAATATAACTACGGAAAACTTGTATGGACAATTCAACTGGCCGCAGAGGTAAAATTTTTCATAAATATAACTGTGTTTAATATAATTGTGAAATTTGTCACAAGTATAATTGTGTTTAATTTAATTGCGTACGTAAAGCTTTAATATAACTGCTTGTATGGACAACTCAATTGGTTGCAGAGCTGAAATTTGTCACAAGTATAACTATGTTTAATATAACTCTGTAAAACTCGTATTGACAACTCAATTGATTGCAGAAATGATTTTTTTTTTTTTTTGGTTTTGAATGCTACTGACTCTATTACATTGTAATATCTGTGGGTTGAAGCACGAAGAGTCAACACCACCTCCATTGAGACTTGTTTTTATGACCTCTCATATGAGAGAGTCACTACATGTTATCAGATCACAAAGTGCTCGATAGAGTGAAATTTGTAACAAGTATAATTGCGTAAACCAAAGGACGTTAAAGGTGTTCCGGGAAAGCCGCCCACCGGCCGGAAAGAGTTCAGAATAGTAACGTAACTGGAAACTGCCAAAAAGGATGACTGACCCAACGTGAGACGGCGGATCGGAGCATCGAAAGCCTTAACTCTCTGAAATTACAACTCTCCGCCCTGCATCCCACGTGCCACCTCACTCTTGCCACGTAACACTCATGACTCATCATCACATTATATTTCCTTCCCAACAATACCACGCATTAGCCCACCCAAGTTCACTGAATATCATGAGCCACATTATTATTGCATTATTATAAGTTGAATCATATCTTCCAAAAAATTTTATGACGTTGATTGTAAAAATATATATTCATCCTTATATCATAAATTTTAATACAATTTTGATAAATATAATGGTATAATTAGTTAAACATACACCATCATTAACATTTGAGTAAATTTCATTTTTGTTCTCAAGTATTATGATATTGGCAAATTATTCTGTGGTCTCAGATGTACCTTGCAAGGTGGATTTAGGTCCAAAATACACAATTAATACGAAATATATATTTACAATTTTGTAAAAGGTAAATTATTTTGTGGACCATTTTATGGACCACATTACTACATGGACCATGGTCCAAAGTATCATTTTAATTCTATTATAGTTTCATTTGATAATGTACATTATTGCTTAAGTTCTATTTTGTTGTTTCATTTTCTACACACACTAATTTAACTATAATAATGCCAAAGTATTTTTTTTTTAATTACACTCTACGTTCATTTGACAATATATGTTATTGTATGGTTCTGAATTTTAGTTTAATTTTTCACACGCACTAGTTTCATTTTATCAACATTAAAGTATCATTTTAATTATACTACAGTTTCATTTGACAATACGTTGTTGAATGACCTCTGATTTTTAGTTTCATTTTTCATACACACTAGTTTCATTTTAGCAACACTAAACTATCATTTTAATTTACAGTTTCATTTGACAATCATGGTCCACATAACACTATGGATCACGGTCCACTGTATAACAACCGATATTGGCAAATTATTCTATGGACCCGGATCTACCTTGCAAGATGGACCTAGGTAAAAAAATACACAATTAACATACTAAATGTTCACAATTTTGTAAAAAGGTAAATTGTGAACATTAAGTATGTAAATTGGGTATTTTGGACCCTGGTCCTTAGTATAACTATTGTATGATTTTGTGCCAAATGCCTTTTGCTCAGATGACACATTTGTGGTTCTCCTTGAAGGAAGGTCATAAGATCGAACTCTGGTGGTGCGGTATTAACTCTTTGGGCTGCAACAGATATAGAAAATATAGAACAAATACTACCTTGTAAGTTAATGCGTAATTTATTCATTAAAGCATTTTGCCCAGACATGTAATTTTCACACTCTCTCGTAACCTCTTTTTAATTAGATGTTGAAATTACATGTTAATTATCTTTATTAAATGGTATAATGACAAAACAATTAAAAAGATGACTAATTGTAGCAAGTTAATGAAAGTCTATGATGTAATTTGACAGAATTAAAAAATATGACTAAATATGATAATACAATAATAACCGATGATTAAAAATGAAATTTGTTTGTTCTTAACATTTTTATTTTTTTTGAATGCTACTGGCTCTATTACATTGTAGTATCTATTCATATACTTTCTCAACCTACTGAAACACAAAGAACCAGGCTCAAACTCATAATCTTCTAAATGGAAGACCAACCCGGGTACCATTAGACCACATAGTCCTGGTGTTCTTAACATTTTTATGATTATATTGATAATGTAAATATTTTGTTTTCGAAATATTATTGCCCATTTTAGTTAGAATCATTGGTTTGAATAGTTTTACTATATCTTGCATAATACTACTATATATTTGATATTATACCATTTGTATTAACAATGCAATAGAGTTTTGTTATATACGTATACAACAATACTATTAAGAGAGCTCTCTCATATACGTTCAACCGACTTGATTTTCTATAAATATGCACACTTTTCTATTTTAAGTAATTTGCATAATAGATTTCCTGAATTCTCATTGAGAGTTTTAGCTTAGTTAGAATTAAGCTAGTTTTACAGATTTTTATTATACATATTTATGAGTAATAGATAAAATTGAGTTTTTTGCACTTTTTGGTCCACAAGTATTATTGTGGTACTGATAATTTTGATCCACAATTTTCAAAACTTGCATTTTTTTTTTATTTTTAAATTTTATTATTAAAAACTATTAAAAATAACAATTCATCATTCGCATAAGCAGACAACCTAATGAAATTGGTGGTAACCTACTATATCATGTGAAATTGCATACATTTGCAGCATTCAGTAACCTAATTGTACTTTTTTTTTTTTTTTCGTTCAGTAACCTAATTGCATTTTCAAGTTACGTTTAGTGGCCAATTTGAACCTTATTCCAATTATCTATTACAATTTTGCTATAAAATATTACATTACATTATAAAGTATTACATATAAGACTTAAAGTATTGATTATATTTGCAATTATGTTATATAATGACATTTATTTTCTGCAAATTGTCTATTATAGTTTTCCTATAACGTATATTATTATATATAAAGCTTAAAGTATTGATGGTATCTGCAATTCAATGCAAAATGTGTATTATATTTATATTATAAATTATTATATATGAGGCTTAAAGTATTAATTATATTTGTAATTATGTTATGTTATTACTTTATTTCATGCAAATTGTCTATTATAGTGTTGCTATGAAGTATTATATTTATGATATAAAGTATTATATATAAGGCTTAAAGTATTGAAGATATTTATGATATAAAATATTATATATAAGGCTTAAATTATTGATTATATCTACAATTTTGTTATATATTTTTATTTCTTGCAAATTGTTCATTACAAATTTTTATGAAGTATTTTACATTTATGATATAAAATATTATATATAAGGTTTAAAGTATTGGTTATATGGAAACTCATGAGACGGCCTCATAAGAGATCAATCCAAAATAATTTCTCTCTTTAGGGTGGATATTATATTCATTTATTGAAATAAATGTAAATTATAATTAAATTATATTCATAATGCTCGCTTTCAGAAAAGAAATATTCTTAATGCTCTATACTATTAAATCATTTATAGCATGTTTGGTTCATGGAATAGGTCAGGGATAGAATGACATTATGGAAAGGGAATAACAATTCTTAGGGGGCTTGGTATTAGCTATACCCATGCTTATTGGAATAACTTTTATATATTACAAATACCAAAAATACTCTTAAATATATATATATATATATATATATATATATATATATATATATATATATATATATATGAACCCTAATTAAATTTATTTCCTATTTCACCACCACCACCACCGCCATCGCCACTGCCACCACCGTCGCCGCCACCAGCACCACCACCCCACCAACGCCACCACCACATATTTTTATAAGGGTATTTATGTCTTTTAATTTAAAACATATTTCATTTATATTCCTTAAACCAACCAAACACGGTAGTATAATTCTTAAAGTCTATTCCTTCCGCGAACCAAACACTAGAATACAATTTCTATTATATTCCTTGCCTATTTCATTCCTTATGGAATAGCATTCCTATTACCCTAAAATTCATTTCGTGAATCAAACATGCTGTTAAAGTTATACGTCTTGATGGTTTTGTTGAATTGGAATCGCGTCCACCGTAAACTGGATATAGAAGTACATAATGGGGGAGTAGGAAAATAGTAATATTATCACGACGGTCCAAATAATACAAGCTATAAGCCAAAATGGATTCTAAAGGGAGATCAGGCCAGGCAAGGCACCCTATTTATATTGTTAAAGAACTCACAGATGATTGACAAATGTACTACATATGACAACCTTCATTCTTGGCCATACACGTGTCCTTCCACTACTCTGCTTCCAACGCACTACCGATGTATAAGTGGAGCTTTCTACCTTTAATACACAAAAATTTGAGTGACTTAGGTGGTTAGTACTTCTATTGTTAACCCATAGGCCATAGGTCCGAATCTTGTTGGTTCCACTTTTTGTAATTTTTTGCTCCATGCTTCCTTCTTTTATTGACAATAAAAATGAATCCCTATTGAGCTAAGATCTATCCAGTAAAATGAACCCCGGATCCCATGTCATCGTCACGTCTCACAATGTTATGATATTTACTTAATATCTCTATAAAAACAAGCGGTACAATTGCAAATAGCATATGATATGTAGAATTGTAATTTGTAAGTCACCATAGAAGTTGCTTATAAATACGGAGTATATAAATAAATTCATACATTACTTTGTTTCTTTGTTTTTACTTATGAAGTTTGAATCTTTATTCAAATAAAAAATTGTACACTCTAATTTTATAATTATTATTTACATACGGCAGTAATTTTTTTTTAATGCATTCATAAAATAATAAATAAAAAACTATTAAAATAATAAAAACAGTATTATTGGGAAATAAAAAGGGGAAATGGGTTGTGAGATCTGATAGCCATCCGTTAAGCCACCCATCACCCATGTCTCTTCCCTTTTCCTTTCTCACCAACTTTTAGAGAGAGAGAGAAAGAGAGACAAAATAAGCAGAGAGACTCCACTACTCTAAAAGAAGAAATTAATAATCCCAAGCTTATCATCTATCCTTTCATTTCATTTCTTCACTATATCCCGATGGGGGAGGTACAGAACTACAGATAATAACAGATTATATTCCTTCTTTTTATTGTTTTTTGATGGGGTTTTTGATATGTAGGAGGAGAAGAAGCCTGAGGATGTGAAAAAGCCGGAGGAGGAGGAGAAGGAGGAGCCACCGGCTGCCGACGGCGGCAGTGACAAGAAAACGGAGGCGGCGGAGGAATCCAAAGACCCGCCACCGCCTCCGCCTCCGCCGCAGGAGATTGTGCTTAAAGTGTACATGCATTGCGAGGGGTGTGCTCGGAAAGTTCGCCGGTGCCTGAAAGGTTTTGACGGTGGGTTCTGGGATCGACGGTGATTATTAAGTGTTTGGAATTTGAATTAATCTTAATTGATTTCTGGGTTCTGTACAGGAGTTGAAGATGTGGTGACTGATTGTAAGAGCCACAAGGTGGTGGTGAAGGGGGAGAAGGCAGATCCACTCAAGGTGGTGGAGAGGGTGCAGAAGAAGAGCCACCGCCAGGTGGAGCTCATCTCTCCCATTCCGCCGCCGCCGTCCGCCGAGGAGCCCAAAAAGTCGCCGGAGGAAGCCGTTAAGCCCGAGGAGAAAAAGGAAGAGGTTGCTTTATTATTATTATTGTTAATTATTTTTCCCTTTTTCTCTCTTTTTCTTCTCACGTCTTTTTCATTTCTAATGTTTTCTTTCCATGCGGAATTTCTTGATTTAGTTAAATCCATCCATCATGCATATGGTATTTTAATTTTTAGTTTTATTTTCTTCATCAAATTACACATTTATTTTAATTATAAATTCACCCCTCTTTTTCCTCTTAATTCTCTTCAGCCCCAGGTGATCACTGTGGTTCTGAATGTCCATATGCACTGTGAGGCATGTGCTCAAGAAATCAAGAGGAGGATTCAGAGGATGAAAGGTCTCTGTCTGCAATTAATGCTACTAAAATTATTTCTTGAAATTTATATTTTTCTAAAAATTTGGCCTTTTTTATGGTATTTTTATTCATCTTATGATTTATGACTTCAAATCTGGCACTTTTAAACTGAACTTTCAAGAAAGATGGTGTCTTTTTTACTTTACTAATTCCAAAAGTGGTAATATATAGATATTGGGTGCGTAATATAATTTTTGTGATTTTATTCTCAACCAGCATGATATGCCATTCTTTTATATATGTATATATGTACAATAAAATATTGGGTTCTTTAGATTCTGTTGAATTTTCAAAACTTAGGACAGACAATTCAAAGTTTCAAACTCCTTTTGGTTAAAAAGAGTTGAGTATATTCCGTGTCAAATCATCGGAGTCTCCAAATTAAATCCTTGTGATTCATATATCTTAGGTGTTGAAAATGTTGAGCCTGACTTTAAGGGCTCATTGGTGACGGTGAAGGGTGTGTTTGAGCCGGCGAGCCTAGTGGAATATGTGGCCAAGAGGACCGGGAAGAGGGCCGCGATTGTGAAGGTGGAGCCGGAGAAGAAGGCGGAGGAGGCGGCGGTGGAGGAGAAGCCGAAGGAAGGGAAAGAAGAAGAGAAGGCGGCGGCAGGGGAAGGCGAGAAGGAAGAGAAGAAAGACGAGGAGGAGGCGGGTGCCAAAGAAAAGAAGGAAGGCAAAGAAGGAGGAGGAGGAGGAGCAGCAGCAGAGGAAGCAGCTGCTGCCTCCTCCGCTAAAGCGGAGGAGGTGGCCGCCGTAGCGGAAGTGGAAGAAGACCCGAAGCTCGAAATGAAGAAGAACGAGCTTTTTTACTACTACTACCCTCCCCAAAACTACTACCACCATAACCCTCCGCCGCTAAGGTTTGCTCAAGAAATGTATGGGTATGGGTACGGGTCAGGGTCAGGGTATGGGTATCCTCCACAGATGTTCAGTGATGAGAACCCTAATGCATGTTCAGTGATGTAAATGAAGTGAAGGGTAAAATGGGGAATGAAGAAATGAATGAGCAAAAATGGTGGATGTGCATGGAGGGAGGGAGGATGATGGGCCATTGTTCCTTGTTGGGTGCCTCTCATGTGGCCCTGTCGTCTCAAAATTACTTTTAATTGCTTCCTTTTTGTTTATTATAATGCTTTGTTCCATACCCTTAGCCTAGCTAGCTGCTGTTAACTAATAATATTATACTCTCATTTACCCCTGTTATTAAATAAAATTTCTAATCTTGTAATGTTATATATATACTTAGCTTGCAACTCTCTATTACTTTCAGTCTTGCATACTGTTTAAAAATATTTTAATAGTAAATTACTAAAATAGTTCTTGATTTTACGTTTTTTATTTTAACCCTAAATAGCTAGGTCTTAACAGGAAGATGTATCTTTAAGTCCGTATTATATTATTAATTCCTGATTGTAGGGGCTGATTAACAAGAAGAGGTATCTTTAAGTCTGTATCATATTATTAATTCCTGATCGTACGGGCCGATTCAATTAACAGACAAAGTTCTGGTTATATTGATTTTTTCAAGATGAGTCTTGATTTTATTTTTGATTGTCAAATTGGTAGAACTCAAATATGTAAAACTTTTAACGGAAGGACTACGGCAGGTCGAATTCGAAACCCAAATATGTAAAAGTTTTTGATTTGAAAGTTTAAAATTAAAGGTGGTAAAATCATCAAATTCGGAGGACTTTGACTACCATTTATTTATTGAAGAATTAAAATAGATAGGTATAAATTAAATTTAGCGTTAATAGTACATTTAGATAATTAAAATAGGTACAAATTTAATCCTTAATAGTATTATTATTCGACGATATTAAAATATAAGGGTCAATATACTAAAAAAATATTATTTTATCAATTTATTTTCTTTGATAGTTAAGAGTATCATATGACCAAATTAAAATTTGAGAAATAATATGGTTAGTTGTAATGGAATAACTATTTTGATAATTTACTCTACCGTATGGAGAAGATGAATGGTATGTTACAACAATTGTTAGGACAATGGTATATAGACATGATGGATGCATAGTATGTTACAACATGTTTTATTCTTACCACAATTTGATAAATAATTATTACCAGACAACATTCTTGTATCTTGTATACATCGTACCAATTAGATTCCAATCATTGCTTCTTTCATAGCCCTCGGATGCCATTTCTTCTCTTTCGGTGCTTCATATATATATATATATATATATATATATATATATATATATATATATATATATATATATAGGGACGCACTCAGGTGCGAATAAGTGCCCAGGAAGGAAATGCGAACGAATCAGCGCGCGACACGTGTCCAGATCTAATAACTTAAAAAAAAAATGCGGTGGCATTTTCGTAAATAATTGAACATCGAAGTGCAAGTAAAATATCTTATAAGTGCACCTATTTTCACCTATAAGTGCATGTAATTTTGCCTTGTTAGCATTCACTTTCCGCAACCATTCATGCACCTGGGTGTGCTTATAACTATATGTGCAACTATTTATAACTATAGGTGCAACTACTTATAACTATAGGTGCACCTACTTTCACCTATAAGTGCATGTAATTTTGCCTTGTTAACATTCATTGATCTGAGCTCAGCAGGTAGTAATACTCCTGAAAACCACTCGCAAACATTCATACATCTAGATGCAACTACTTATACCAATGTGTGCAACTACTTAGAACTATAGGTGCAACTACTTAGAACTATAAGTGCAACTAAGTATTGATGCTCAGTGTAAATTTTTACTTGCACCTATAATACATTTTACATGCACTTGTAATACATTTTACTTGCACTTCGATGTCAATTATTTACGAAAATGCCACCATATTTTTTAAAAAAATCAATGTTTCTCATCCATTAGATCCGGACACGTGGACGAACAGAATCCATTCCTATTTCGCGCCTGGGCCAGCCGTTCGCACCTGAGTACAAGTCTATATATATATAGGGATGCACTCAGGTGCGAATAAGTGCTCAGGAGGAAAATGCGAACGAATCAGCGCGCGACACGTGTCCAGATCTAATAACTTAAAAAAAATACGGTGGCATTTTCGTAAATAATTGAACATCGAAGTGCAAGTAAAATCACTTACAAGTGCACCTACTTTCACCTATAAGTGCATGTAATTTTGCCTTGTTAGCATTCACTTTCCGCAAACATTCATGCACCTGGGTGTGCTTATAACTATCTGTGCAAATATTTATAACTATTGGTGCAACTACTTATAACTATAGGTGCACCTACTTTCACCTATAATTGCATGTAATTTTGCCTTGTTAGCATTCACTTTCCACAAACATTCATGCACCTGGGTGTGCTTATAACTATATGTGCAACTATTTATAACTATAGGTGCAACTACTTATAACTATAAGTGCACCTACTTTCACCTATAAGTGCATGTAATTTTGCCTTGTTAACATTCATTGATCTAAGTTCAACGGGTAGTAATACCCCTGAAAACCACTCGCAAACATTCATACACTTAGGTGCAACTACTTATAACTATGTGTGCAACTACTTAGAACTATCGGTGCAACTGCTTAGAACTATTGGTGCAACTAAGTATTGATGCTCAGTGTAAATTTTTACTTGCACCTATAATACATTTTACATGCAAGTGTATTACATTTTACTTGCACTTCGATGTTCAATTATTTACGAAAATGCCACCGCGTTTTTTTAAAAAATCAGTGTTTCTCATCCATTAGATCTGGATACGTGGACGAACACAATTCATTCCTATTTCGCGCCTGGGCAAAGCATTCGCACCTGAGTGCGATTCTATATATATATATATATATATATATATATATATATATATATATATATATATATATATATATATATATATATATATATATATATATATATATATATATATATGTGTGTGTGTGTGTGTGTGTGTGTGTGTGTGTGTGTGTGTGTGTGTGTATTCAAATGAGGACAAGTATATTATGGAGGACTGTGAGGACAGATGTAGTGTGTGCCTTTAGTCGATATGTTGTGTGCATGGGCGAATGTAGTCGTGTGCCACAGTTTGTATCTCGCGTGCTAGAATTGTTAATTTATAGAGCCCGGGTTCGAAACCTGATGTTTACATTTATTCTTGTGTGCCATTGTGTATTAAGTTGTGTGCCTGGTATTAATTTGTTGTGTGCCCATTATTTGTCCTCACAGTCCTCTATATATTGTTGTCCTCAACCATATATATATATATATATATATATATATATATATATATATATATATATATATATATATATATATATATATATATATATATATATATATATATATATATATATATATATATATATATATATATATATATATGTATATAGGGAATGGATCAGGTGCATTTGTTGCTTTCCGTGCGGATGTGCGGTGGATTAATGTGTGTGAGGTTTATACTTAATGTGCGAAGATATATATATATATATATATATATATATATATATATATATATATATATATATATATATATATATATATATATATATAGGGAAGGGATCAGGTGCATTTGTTGCTTCCCGTGTGGATGTACGGTGGATTAATGTGTGTGAGGTTTATACTTAATGTGCGTGAGATTTGTACTCAATGTGCCTGAGATTTGTATTTAATGTGTGTCATGTTAATATGCGTGAGTTTTGTACTTAATGTGCCTGAGTATTGTGTTTAATGTGCGTGAGATTTGTGCTTAATGTGAGTGAGTATTTCAGAATTACGCGAGCTCAGAAGGAAGCAGAACAGAAACTCACGCACATTAACGCCCAAGCTTCTTGTTACTTCTTCCTTCAATTTGGCCATAGATTCTGGATTATCAGCTAGCTCCAGTGCAGTTGAATGTTTATATAAATGACGCACGCACAGTAAAATTTACAAAGTAGCTAAGTGTGGATTTCTGTTGTATTATTCCCATAATTCTTGATCACCATAGCCGGCCTCCGCATCATCATCATCAGGGAGGGGGCAAATGGCTACTGGGGTGGGGAAGAAGCTGACATCAATATTTTCTGCTGCATTTTACACATTCACGCACATTAAGTACAAATCTCAGGTACATTAAGCACAACACTCACGCACATTGTGTACAAATCTCACGCACATTAATCTACCGCACATCTGCACGGGAAGCAATGCTTCCCGTGCGGTTGTGCGGTTGATTAATGTGCGTGAGCTTTGTACTTAATGTGCGTGAGTGAATAATGTTAATGTGCGTGAATTTCGTACTTAATACGCCTGAGTCCTGTGTTTAATGTCCCTGAGATTTGTACTTAATGTGCGTGAGTGTGTAATGTTAATGTGCTCCTGTTGCTCCTGTACATATACGTCTTCGTCTTCTCTTCATCTCTTTTCCCTTAATCCTCTCTTCCTCTCTCTCTGTTCTTCTTCATATACGTCTTCGTCTACGTCCTCGTCTTCTCTTCCTATTCCCTTAATCATCTCTTCCCCTCTCTCTGTTCTTCATCATCATAAACGTCTTCGTCTTCTCTTCTTATTCCCTTAATCCTCTCTTCTCCTCTGTCTATTCTTCATCATATACGTCTCCGTCTTCGTCTGACTTTTGTGTTTAATGTGTGTGAGTTTGTGGTCTGAATGTATTTTTTTTATAGCTTCCTGTGCGATTGTGTTAAAAGTCATGCACATTAAGCACAAACCTCTCGCACATTAAGTGCAATACTCAGGCACATTAAGTACAAAACTCACGCACATTAACATTACATACTCACGCACATTAAGTACAAATCTCAGGCACATCAAGCACAAGACTCACGCACATTAAGTATAAAACTCACGCACATTAATCAACCGCACGGGAAGCCCCACACACACACACACACACACACACACACACACACACATATATATATATATATATATATATATATATATATATATATATACATACATACATATGGGTGCACTCTCATGCAAACGGCCGCCCAGGAGAGAACTGAGAACCATCCAGCACGTGCCACGGGTCCTTTGGTGCATGTAAATGTGTTATATGTGCAAGTAGGTGGTGCACCTTTGCAAATAATAAGTGCAGGTAAAATCACTTACAAATAAACATACTTTCACCTACAAGTGCATGTAATTTTGTCTTGTAACATTTATTGATCTGAGTTCGTTCTGTTTGGCATCACTTTTGTTCTTGCGGAGGATTTCAGCGGGTAGTTAGTACACGTGAAAACCACCCGCAAACATTCATGCTCCTAGGTGCACCTACTTATAACTATAGGTGCACCTAGTTATAACTTTGGGTGCACCTACTTATAACTTTGTGTGTGCGTGTGTGTGTGTGTGTGTGTGTACATACATACATACATACATATATATGTATATATACATATATATGTAAATATATATATATATATATATATATATATATATATATATATATATATATATATATATATATATATATATATATATATATATATATACTAGTCTTTTTTATGCGCGGTGCGCAAAAACATATGCCCAATATTTATATATTTTAAAATAACTATCAAATTCCTACTAATTAAAATCTATGGAGTATATGAAATCAAATTTATTTATTATAATAATCCAATATATAATGTCTTCAAATATTATTATCATTAAAGAATATTAAAAAATATATGGTAGATGGCATGTGCATGGTAACAATCATGGAAAAGATAACAGAAGTTATAACGGTAGGGGTATTTTTGTCCAAAAATTTATATAGTACAACTCTAAAAGCATAATGTACAAAATGATTAGCATTAAAAACATGGACATAAATGAGGGATATAACTTTGATTGAGACTTATTATGTTTTTAGATATGGAAGAAATCAGGTGCGAAGGAGCTCCCAAGTGAAACATTGGGTTAGATCTGAATCTTTGATCAAATCTAGATCAGCGGCTCAAATGAATAACATTTAAAAAAAAAAAAAACAAACACGGGTCCTGAAAGGAAGAAGAAAAGTGTAAAAGTGATGCACCTTAAGTGTCACAAAGATGCACTTTAAGTGTTAGAATGACGCACATTAAGTATTAAAATGATGCACCTTAAGCCTTAACATCGCACACCTTCAGTTTTTAAATTGGCGCATCTTAAGTAGTAAAATCCCGCACCTTAAGTATAAAAATGACGCACCTTAAATGGAAAAATTATGCACCATAAGTCTATAACTGACGCACGTTAAATGTTAAAATAACAAACCTTAAGTGTTAAAAGTACGCACCTTAAGATATGAAAAGACGCACTTTAAGGTTTAGAATGACGCACCTTAATTTTAAACCTAAAACCCACCTTAAGTTCTCAACTGAAGAACTGATGCACCTTAAACACAAACCCACGCATCTTAAGAAGGAACACGACGCACCTTAAGCACAAAAGTACGCACCTTAAGTTTGACCAATATGCAAAAAAGACCAAATTCCCACCGTATTTTTTTTTTTTTTTTTTAATTTGTGTTCATCCTGGATGTTGATTTTGACAAGATCAATGGCTCTCATCTCACCGCATGTTTCACCGAAACACAACCTCTGCATCTGATCTCTAACATATATATATATATATATATATATATATATATATATATATATATAGTGAAAGGTTCTCGTGCGGTTGAATGCTTCCCGTGCGGTTGTGCGGTTACTAATGTGCGTGAGATTTGTACTCAATGTGCGTGAGTGTTGTGTCTAATGTGCCTGAGATTTGTGACTTATTATAATGTTATATTCATATGGTTTCCGCACCATCTTCAATGGCAACCAGTTCCCTCAACCGAGCCAGCAACTGTTCGAAATCGTCGTCCATCTTGAGGAGGCTGAGCCGCACATAACGATCCTCGGCGCTGAATATGCTTCCTGCTCGTCCTATGATCTTCGCCCCTTCCAGGACTGCACTGCAATTTGTTTCTTCCTCCCATAAACACTTCACCCATGCATACGCTGCATGCAAGTTCATACACTCTGCGTTTATTTCTAGTTTCATCAATGGAAATCAAGAACAACACTTTGTATGTACCTGGAGAGGGTCCTCGAATTTTCTCGAAAAAATTGCAGTACTTAAGAGAGATTGATAATCCAAAATACTCACGCACATTAAGCATAAATCTCACGCATATTAAGCACAATACTCAGGCACATTAAGTACAAAACTCACGCATATTAACATGACGCACATTAATCCACCGCACAACCGCACGGGAAGCAACAAATGCACCTGATCCCTTCCCTATATATATATATATATATATATATATATATATATATATATATATATATATATATATATATATATATATATATATATATATGTATATGTATATGCTTCGAATCCGGTGCAACCCCTATTGTAGATGAGACCGTGAACCCTCCTAATATCCGTTGATTTTATTTCCATGAATGGTTGAGATTATAAGAGATTTAGGTAGTAATTAAGGACATTTCCCAATGAGAAGGAGATAATAGTAATTGTATATTTATGAATATATTCTGATTGGAATGTGAAGCATTATATTAGGGAGCTTTTAAATGGAAATTAATATTCCCTGCTTCTCTTCTCCCCCAGCCATCGGGAAATTAAATCTGGCCATCAGTTTCTTGGGACTAGAATTCACAATTTACTTGGCTGGGGAAGGGGAATTCACCTTGCAGATTGGTGACGAGAAAGGTGAAGGGCGGATGGGAAGATTCGCTAGGGCAGAATGGTGACGAGGAAAGGTGAATGGCGGACGGGAAGATTCGCGACGAGTAAAGGTGAATGGCAGACGGGAAGATTCGCTAGGGCAGAATGGTGACGAGGAAAGGTGAATGGCGGACGGGAAGATTCGCTAGGGCAGAATGGTTGTATGCGGACGGAAAGATTCGCTAGAAGACAATTTTGCAGAATAAATTGCCCTCCTATTAGGATAACCTAAATACATAAAGCCTTGAGGATAATTTTGCAGAATAATCACGGGGAGGATATGGGGTAGTGGGATCCCGTTGACTCTGGGATCTCAACAGGGAGGATATGGGGGTAGTGGGATATCGGTGACTTTGACATCGAACAGAGATCCGATCGCCAAATGCACGGGGGGAGATTCAATCTAGGCGGAAGAATGGCGCCGCCCCGGGATCTCAGTTTCAAGCGGGAAACCGAGCCATTCCTCCTCTGTTGGCTGGCGTGCCGGTGCCGTCTCCGTTGCAGTAGACTTGCTGAAAGACTTCTTCAGCCTCCAAACCTTCTTTGATATCCATTCTTTGAAGAATGGACGGTTGCTGTCCTCCTCAGTTTTGGTTTTTATTTTCTTTCCAAAAAATCCTCCGGCCATAGTTTTTCAGAAGTGCAGTTCTTTCTTCAAAATTTAGGGTTCTGTTCTCTTCTACTTTATAGAGTTCAAAATGTAATAAAAAAGGGAGGATATAATCTTACCTCAGCAAGCTTTGGCTGCTTCTTTCCTCTTCTCTGCTTCTCTTCTTCCCCGGTCATTGGAAAATTAAATCTGGCCATCTTGAGAACTATCACAATTCACCTTGGCTGGGGGAATGGGAATTCACTTTGCAGATGGTTGTATTCGCACGGAGGAAAGATTCGTTTGCACAATCGTCTGGCTCTGATACCAAGTATTGGGCTCTGATATCAAGTATTGAGCTCTGATTACCAAGTATTGAGCTCTGATGCCAAGTGTTGAGAGAGGAGAAAGGTTAAGGAAAGATTAAGCCTCCACATAGGTGAGATAGCGATCCTTTCATTTTTAGCTTCAATTTTCAATATATTCGAAGATGTCTTACAGATGAGCAATCTAAACAAATGCCACATTTAAAAAAAAATTTAGAAAGAGAATCTTCCAACCCCTATACCCAAGTGGCTATGGATATATTTAAGACCATAACTAAAAACTTTAATGCCAAGCGATGCAAAATTTGATCATAATTAAAAACTTTAAGGTATATTATATTTAATTTCTACTTATAGTAGATTTCTTGATATTGTGCTTATTATTCTTTTTCAAGGTTCTTAATTTTTACTAATAGTACATTTCTTGATGAACGTGAAAGTTCAAAAGACAAACTCAGTTCTAGTACTGGTGAAAGTTCCAAAGAGAAATTCAGTCCTAATTGTTTTAAAAGAAGGAAGGTATCTCATCCAACTTATTCAATACTTGGTATCAGAGCTCAATACTTGGTATCAGAGATCAATACTTGGTATCAGAGCCCAAAACTTTTAGGCAGGAGGAGGAGAACAAATCAAATCCTTGTGATTCATATATCTTAGATGTTGAAAATGTTGAGCCTGACTTTAAGGGCTCATTGGTGACGGTGAAGGGTGTGTTTGAGCCGGCGAGCCTAGTGGAATATGTGGCCTAGAAGATCGGGAAGAGGGCGGCGAATTAAAAAGGTGGTAAAATCATCAAATTCGGAGGACTTTGACTACCATTTACTTATTGGAGAATTAAAATAGATAGGTATAAATTAAATTTAGCGTTAATAGTACATTTAGAGAATTGAAATAGCTACAAATTTAATCCTTAATAGTATTATTATTAGACGATATTAAAATGTAAGGGTCAATATACTAAAAAAATATTATTTCATCAATTTATTTTCTTTCATAGTTAAGAGTATTATATGACCAAATTAAAATTTGAGAAATAATATGGTTACTTGTAATGGAGTAACTATTTTGATAATTTACTCTACGGTATGGAGAAGATGAATGGTATGTTACAGCAATTCTTAGGACAATGGTATATACACATGATGGATGCATAGTATGTTACAACATGTTTTATTCTTACGACAATTTGATAAATAATTATTACCAGACAACATTCTTGTATCTTGTATACATCGTACCAATTAGATTTCAATCGTTGTTGCTTTCATTTCCCTCGGATGCCATTTTTTCTCTTTCGGTGCTTCATATATATATATATATATATATATATATATATATATTGTGAAAGGTTCCATTGTGGTTGGGTGCTGCTCATGCGGTTGTTTAATGTGCGTGAGCTTTGTACTTAATGTGCGTGAGTCTTGTACTTAATGTGTCTGAGCTTTGTACTTAATGTGCGTGTGTAATGTTAATGTGCGTGAGTTTCGTAATTAATATGCCTGAGTCTTGTGTTTAATGTGACTGAGATTTGTACGTAATGTGCGTGAGTGTATAATGTTAATGTGCTCCTGTTGCTCCTATACATATATGTCTTCTTTTGCACAATCGTCTGGCTCTGATACTAAGTATTGGGCTCTGATATCAAGTATTAAGCTTTGATTACCAAGTATTGAGCTCTGATGCCAAGTGTTGAGAGAGGAGAAAGGTTAAGGAAAGATTAAGCCTCCATATAGGTGAGATAGCGATCCTTTCATTTTTAGCTTCAATTTTCAATATATTCAAAGATGTTTACAGATGAGCAATCTAAACAAATGCCACATTTAAAAAAAAAATTAGAAAGAGAATCTCCCAACCCATATACCCAAGTGGCTATGGATATATTTAGACCATAATTAAAAACTTTAATGCCAAGCGATGCAAAATTACATCATAAATAAAAACTTTAAGGTGTATTACATTTCTTGATAAACGTGAAAGTTCAAAAGAGAAACTCAGTCCTAGTACTGGTGAAAGTTCCAAAGAAAAATTCAGTCTTAATTGTTTTAAAAGAAGGAAGGTATCTCATCCAACTTATTCAATACTTGGTATCAGAGCTTAATACTTGGTATCATAGCCCAAAACTTTTAGGCAGGAGGAGGAGAACAAATTAAATCCTTGTGATTCATATATCTTAGGTCTGGAAAATGTTGAGCCTGACTTTAAGGGCTCATTGGTGACGGTGAAGGGTGTGTTTGAGCCGGCGAGCCTAGTGGAATATGTGGCTAAGAGGATCGGGAAGAGGGCGGCGATTGTGCAGGTGGAGCCGCAGAAGAAGGCGGAGGAGGCGGCGGTGGAGGAGAAGCCGAAGGAAAGGAAAAAAGAAGAGAAAGCGGCGGCAGGGGAAGGCGAGAAGGAAGAGAAGAAAGGAGAGGAAGAGGCGGGCGCCAAAGAAAAGAAGGAAGGCGAAGAAGGAGGAGGAGCAGAGGAAGTAGCTGCCGCCTCCTCCGCTAAAGCGGAGGAGGCGGCCGCCGTGGCGGAAGTGGAAGAAGAAGACTCGAAGCTCGAAATGAAGAAGAACGAGCTTTTTTACTACTACTACCCTCCCCAAAACTACTACTACCATAATCCTTCGCCGCTAAGGTTTGCTCAAGAAATGTATGGGTATGGGTACGGGTCAGGGTCAGGGTACGACTATCTTCCACAGATATTCAGTGAGACAAAATAAGCACAGAGAGACTCCACTACTCTAAAAGAAGAAATTAATAATCCAAAGCTTATCATCTATCCTTTCATTTCATTTCTTCACTATATCCCGATGGGGGAGGTACAGAACTACAGATAATAACAGATTATATTCCTTCTTTTTTGTTGTTTTTTGATGGGGTTTTTGATATGTAGGAGGAGAAGAAGCCGGAGGATGTGAAAAAGCCGGAGGAGGAGAAGAAGGAGGAGCCACCAGCTGTCGACGACGGCGGTGACAAGAAAACGGAGGCGGCGGAGGAATCCAAAGACCCGCCACTGCCTCCGCCTCCGCCGCAGGAGATTGTGCTTAGTGCGAACGGCCGCCCATGAGAGAACTGAGAACCATCCAGCACGTGCCAAGGGTCCTTTGGTGCATGTAAATGTGTTATATGTGCAAGTAGCTGGTGCACCTTTGCAAGTAATAAGTGCAGGTAAAATCACATACAAGTGCACATACTTTCACCTACAAGTGCATGTAATTTTGTCTTGTTAACATTTATTGATCTGAGATCGTTCTGTTTGGCATCACTTCTGTTCTTGCGGAGGAGTTCAGCGGGTAGTTAGTACCCGTGAAAACCACCCGCAAAATTTCATGCTCCTAGGTTTACCTACTTATAACTATAGGTGCACCTAGTTATCACTTTAGGTGCACCTAGATCTGGACACGTGGCGCGCTCTGAATGGTTCTTTGTTCTCTCCTAGACGGGCAATTCGCACCTGAACGCGATCATAAATATAAATATATATATATATATATATATATATATATATATATATATATATATATATATATATATATATATATATATATATATATATATATATAGCTCCCAAGTGAAACATGGGGTTAGATCTGAGTCTTTGATCAAATCTAGATCAACGGCTCAAATGAATGACATTAAAAAAATAAAAACAATCTCGCGTCCTGAAATGAAGAAGAAAAGTGTAAAAGTGATGCACCTTAAGTGTTAGAATGACGCACATTAAGTATTAAAATGATGCACCTTAACCCTTAACATAGCACACCTTCAGTTTTTAAATTGGCGCATCTTAAGTAGTTAAATCCCGCACATTATGTATAAATATGACGCACCTTAAATGGAAAAATTATGCACCGTAATTCTATAACTGACACACCTTAAATATTAAAATAACAAACCTTAAGTGTTAAAAGTACGCACCTTAAGATATGAAAAGACGCACTTTAAGGTTTAGAATGACGCACCTTAATTTTAAACCTATAACCCACCATAAGTTCTCAACTGAAGAACTGATGCACCTTAAACACAAAACCCATGCATCTTAAGAAGGAACACGACGCACCTTAAGCACAAAAACTACGCACCTTAAGTTTGACCAATATGCAAAAGAGACCAAATTGCCACCGTTTTTTTTTTTTTTTTTTTTTTTTTTTTTTTTTTTTTTTAATTTGTGTTCATCCTGGATGTTGATTTTGACAAGATCAATGGCTCTCATCTCAACGCCGCATGTTTCACCGGAACACAACCTCTGCATCTGATCTTTAACACACACACACACACACACACACACACACACACACACACATATATATATATATATAATATATATATATATAGGCTTCGCATCCGGTGCAACCCCTATAGTAGATGAGACCATGAACCCTCCTAATATCCATTGATTTTATTTCCATGAATGGTTGAGATTATAAGAGATTTAGGTAGTAATTAAGGACATTTCCCAATGAGAAGGAGATAATAGTAATTGTGTATTTATGTTTATTTGTGGATATATTCTGATTGGAATGTGAAGCATTATATTAGGGAGCTTTTAAATGACCAGGACTATGTGGTCCAATGGTACCCGGATTGGACTTCCATGTGGAAGATTGTGTGTTCAAGTCTCAGTGGAGGCGTTATTAACTCTTTGTGTTTCAGTAGGTTGAGAAAGTATATGAACAGATACTACATTGTAATAGAGCTAGTAGCATTCAAAAAAAAAAGGGAGCTTTTAAATGGAAATTAATACTCTCCTCTTTACAGAAAAAAAAAAAAGGGAGCTTTTAAATGGAAATTAATACTCTCCTCTTTACAAAGGCTGCTGGACTGACTGTGGCGTGAACAAGCTTTGAGAAGAAAACGAAGGGCTGTGAGTGCATAGAAAACGACGGAGCAGACTACTGCAATGGTTGGTACCAGTACAGGTATGTGCGTTTACGTACTCGAGATTGTGGTGGTGTGTGGGTGGGGGGTGTGTGGCGTAGTTGGACGCAGTAGAAGTTATGTGATGTGTGTGAGCTTCGGAATTTATGAAGTGTGGAACGACAAGAGTATGTCGATCACTACATACTATGTGAGTTATGATCGAGGGTGCGTATACGAACATGAGTGCGTGCATACTGTGTGAATATATTGAGAAATTTGTTGGTGTTTTTTTTTTCTTTTTTTTTTTTTGGTTGTTAAAAACGTAAAACGTCGATAAGTAGATTTTGTGTGGCAGGTGCACCACCTATGGAAGACGATGTGGACGCCGAACAATGTGTTATGGATATATCGCTGAGTGGGACAAAGATTTGGTTGCGGTAAACGAGTTGACTTATTAGTTGGGTTTAAAATTGTTATTAATTTGTAATTATGCTGTGAGCGTTGTTGTATGCAGGTGAATGCAGTTTTCAGTAAAGTATAGCTGTAAGTAAATACTAATATGGTGCATATGCATCTTCGTGCACTGCTAGTGGCGTAGCAGGCCACCGGTCGGTGCATAACGTTGTGGCTAAAAACATGCATGTGTTGCGGTGTGCATTAGTGAATAGAAGAAAGTTTATAGCACTTGTTCTGTGTGGGTTTTATGTTTTGGTTTTAGGTTAGTCCTCTGTTGGCACCCAAGTTTGCACGCACTTGACAATTGATTTTTATTTCAAACAAGGATGTGTGCGTAGTTATATAAAGGTGAATGCGTTACACCGTAAACAAGATTTATTACTTATTACTAATATGGTGTGTGCGTAGTAGGCCATCAGTTTGTGCATGTCGCTTAGTAGGCCAGCAGTCTGTTAATATGGTGCGTATGCATTGGCGTTACACCGCCAGGTGCGTAGTAGGCCATCAGACTATGCATAACACTGTCGATGAATGCTTGCATGTTTCCGTGTATGCTTTATACGATTCAAGTTAGTACGTACTGCTGTAATATATGACTCATCTATAATACGCAATGTTCATTTGAGTGCACGTACGTAAAGCTTGTGAGAATTCAAATGCATTTAAAAAAAAAACTCAAAAAACGTAAGACGAGACAGAATTGTAATACGAAATGTTCAAGTGAAAATCCAAAACAAAAACCAACATCCAAAAACAAAATCCCAACGAAACTGACCACAATATTTAAAGTGAGGAAAGAATTGTAAAAGCCGTGTATAAATGAAAGGTTTGACAAGATGCTTTGGAGATGCGCGAATCTTCAAGGGGGAAAAAATTACCTCATCAACCTCGTCAGGCTCAGCATCCGATCCATCCGTATCCGGCACCGGTTGAGCGGGTTCTTGGGGCACTTCTACTGCTTCCGACTGTGGCAAAGGTGCCACCGCATCAACTACACCCATCGGCTCAACACCACCATCCCCTGCAAATGGCACCAATCAAAAGACCGAAACCAAAAACAAAAAACCCAATAACATAAAGAATACCACTACAAAACATCATAAAACAAACTCAACAACCATAGTGCACAAAGCTAAATAAAAAACACAAACATACAAAAAATAACCCCCCAAAACGAAGACCATTAAACCTAGCTTTACCACGATGACACACATCCACGCACAAATTATAAAACCACACACACGCAGCGCCGATAAACTTGTAACCACTAACTACAAGTCCATTTAGACTAAGTTGCACAAAGTGACATACATCCATGCACAAGCGTGAAGACTAGCAAATCTGTAGAATAACATAGTACTGTACACGAACGAAAGATCCCAAAAAAATCAAAAAATTTAAAACGCACAACGCACAACGCAAATGCATGACATCAAAAAAATGAAAAAGCAATGACCGAAGCACAGACCAAATACCCATAGTGCACAAAGCTAACAACAAAAGACATCACCCCCTAACCCTACCCCACGGTCTGCAACATAATACAATTTTGTTTATACTATAATGCATTCACCTCCTTACCCTTACACACACATTAAAAAAAAAACAAAACAGACCATTAAAAAAAAACAGTAACACATGAAGCAACAACTGTAGGCCCTTAGCGCACAGACCCTGAAAGACATTCTCAATCACAAGCAACGCACAGACCAATGACCTTTACGCAACGTGATAGTAGTTAAACCTATAACATGTTAATACTATACTGCATTCACCTCCTTACATCTATGGACACAACAAACTTCAAAAAAGAATTAAATTCAATTACCGGTCTTGATACACACACGCTACCAAACTAACAAGCCACGACCCCCCACCCCCCCCCTCAAAACCCCAAATAGGAAAAAAACCAAGCATATTACGAAAAGAAATAACAGACCCCAACCAAAAAAAAAAAACACAATAACGCACGAAGCAACACCTACATGCACTCCCCCCCCCCCCCCCCCACACCGGCAACACACAGAGCGATAGTCTTCACGCAACGTGATAGTACTTAAAGCTACAACATATTTATAAAAGGTTGCCTCTACGATCACGGCATTGGGAAGACCAAAATTTATATTTATATTTAATATATAACAACAATAATTTGTTTTTGAAGTAATATTATATTTAGGTGTATAGTTTATGCATTGAAATTGCAGGAAGAAGAAGACAATTAGGATTGGAGTTTGTTTACCTTAATTATGTTGCACATGAACACTGATAAAGATGGGAAATGTGGACACTATATTAATCAATTCTGATTAAGAGGGCACTGCATCCAAATCTCACTCAGAATGTAGAATAGATTCATATATTTTGACGATGATATGATTCACAACGACAGAT